ATTTCATCCACAAAGTGCCCTTATCAAAGAATTTTGTGAGAATGAATGACCAAAGAACAAGATCAAGGAGCAGTGGATCACTAGGCTTAGAAAACTCATAAGTGTGGAGGTAACATGGAAAGCTCCAAGGATGCTCCATCACCCAATTATGTATAAATGTGGAGATGAGCCTTGGGTACCACTAATGGGGTAATGGGGAGCGATTAGTTATGCCCCAATCATAGTGAGAAGGCAATTCGGGTTAGAGCAATTTGTGTCGATGACACATCTACTCAACACTTTAGAGTTTGCTTATGAAAAATCAACTTCTTAAAAAGATTGAGGAGATTGCACGAGCATGAAAGAAAATAAGCCAAGTAGACTAAGAAAGGTACACTGATAAAGTTACGTATCTGATGAAAATAAGTCAAGCTTATTTTCTTTCATACTCGTGCAATCTTCTCAATCTTTTTCAAAAAGTAAACTTTTCATAAGCAAACTCCAAAGTGTTGAGTATATGTGTCAACAGCGTAAATTGCTTCGCGACCCGAATTGCCTTCTCACCATGATTGGAGCATAACTGATTGCTCTCCATTACCCAATTAACGATACCCAAGGTTAATTTCCACATTTGTACATAATTGGACAACGGGACATCCTTAGAGCTTTCCATATTACCTTCACACTTATGAGTTTTCTAAGTCTAGTGATCCATTGCCTCTTAGTCTTGTTCTTTGATCATTCACTCTCACAAAATTCTCTGATAGGGGCACTTTGTGGATGAAATAGTTTTTTGAACCTTTTGACTTTACATTCAAAATGACTTATTATCCAAATGGAAAGAAGTTATACGTACCCCACAAATCGTCCTTCCCTCTCTTCTCTACAATAATTCAATAATTTGAGAGTTTCTATTATGATTGATGGAGAAGAGTTAACTTTGTCGATAACTTGCTCGAAAAAGTCTATAATTCTCACTTCCATATGCCTCAAGACTTTGAAAAATATCACTAACTCATATATTCCTAACGCCATCACAAGTTGATCTTGCTCGGAGTCTTAATGCTTCATGATATAATTGCGTATAAAGCTCCATGGGATACACTCATTGTCTCCCTATTTCTTAAATTTTGACCAACTTCCCTCGGAGTAATACCCATCATCTTGGCTAACTTCTGCTTATATCTGATCTTTTGTCCTCGCTAATATATTTTGTTAAAATTATCAAGATCAATTTGAAAAAGAACTGAATATTCTTCATTTGTCAATACCATATCGACTTCATTGAACACAAAACATCTATACGAAGGATCTTAAAATTGCACAAATACCTTTAACAATTGATCATCAATCTGGACCTTAAAAAGTCAAGCTATTTGGTCATGTTTCTTATCAAAATTTGCTCGCATCGTGACCTCTCACTTTTCTCATATGTCAGATAAGTCTGTAAAATCGTTTTATTTAAGATCAAAATGGACCTTACTAGGTAATGATGAAATATGACCTTCTGTCAAGCAATCTCTTTCACTTTATTAGGCATTTGTCATGTGCTAAGTCACCTTATATATCCCATCATAGCATAAAGATAACCATGATGACTCCATAAATGCAATTGGATCTACACCGTCGATAACTGTCAAGTGACAAATACTTTTCTTATATGCAAAATTATTATACAGATATACACATACAAAAGAAAAAATGATAACAAGCTCAAGTTAGTATAGTAAATAAAAATTTTAAAAGTAATTTTGATTACAAAAAATGAATGATAGTAATTAGTATCATGAATATTCGTACCTTTATTATTTTGGAATGAGAATTTAAAATAGAGAGAATAAAGAAAATTCCTTCATGTGTACCTAGTTAAAGAGTGAACTCTCTCGGGTAAGGCTCTATCTAAGTAAAAGCTACTCACGGTATTTTATATGCTAAATTCGAGTTGCAAATGGAGCTAAAGGTTCTCAAATTGTTCTTTACTGTCACCTACCTGGACTAGTAAGACATTCCGATCTTCACCCATTACAAGCTTCAAACAGGCTAATTTCGATCTAAGTGCGAGTCTTCACTAGTTCGTGCGGAGGTTATCACCTCACAAGAACGTAGCTACTTAACTCCTTAATTAAAGACATAATCCGCGTAAAGAGCTTATGCATGAATGCAAATCGTGTTGTGTGTGAAAAAGAATAAAAACGACTTTTAACCACTTATCATATGCCCCTTTATTCTAAAATTTTCACAAGTAATAAATTAATAATAACAGAATAAATAAATACATCAATCAAAAATATGCAAAATGAATCATTAATACTAAAAGAAACACCTGATTACCAAAGGCTTAGGATAACCTATTATTAATTAATAGCTCGACTCTCTAAGCATCTCTAGTAGAGTCGTCATCTGTCATAAAGAGCGACCCAGGAACCTGACCGCTAGATTCAGGCGAAAATAAATACTTGAGAGCCTCCACCAATCCTTTTTGTATAGGTGTGATTGACTACTTATTAACTCGATTTTAGTCAACGAAGTCTTAAATTAATTTTTAAGTCTGTCGAAAGGACAAAAACTGATCTACATTTTAAAGATAGGTTCGAAAGTACGATTACGCACGAGGAAATATTAGCACCCCATAGCGCCCATTCCACGAACGGTTACATTTAATCTCATGTTATCTTATTGGAGCCTAAATTATTGATGTTTCCTTAATCTTTGTTTATTAGTTGATTATTTATTATATTAGTAGATTAAAATTTTTATTCGATTTTACAAATGCATATGTAGCCACAAAATGATGCCATAATTTATCATTTTTTAATTAATGAGAACAACAATCTTTTATCGAAAAACAGTTTATAGACCATCCCAAATGTTTTGGTGAAGTCTCGAAGCTTTCCTTACCTAGGGATATCCTTGAAAAAACTCATCTCTATAAGCTCGTCGAGGAAATCCCATCACCGAAATTCTCGTCTCATTAACAAGATAAACGTGACATGTTATGACAGGGTAAAATTATTAGTGATGTCTGCATAAACATGCTTAAATATGATTTAGTTAATTGAGAATTTATGGAACAATGTATTTAAAGTAATTTATTGTCTTATTTATTTATTTATTTATTTGTATATATCTTTTTGAAAGCATGCTACTTAAGTCATTATCCTTTAACTAATACTATGAGCTAATATATTTTATTTAACTATACATTTCATATTTAATAAATAATTAATTATTTGATATTTAAATTTTAATTTAATTAACTTTATTTAGGTAAATTTGTTCAAGCTAATTAACTATCTATACCAATCTAGATTTAAATATAACATTTTATAAATTTATTATCTTTTTAATTTAAAAAATATTATTTGAGTTAATGGGTATTAAAATATATAGAGATTGGAAAAAAGAAGGAAAAAAGTGAAAAGGGAGGTTTTTTAGACCAAACGGCAATTTGGAGCTTAGGCACTCAGAGCCGAACTGAACAGCAGAATCCATTTAAAACTTTTAGGCTTATTCTAGCTTGTAGGTAATATATTTCAATACCCATTAACTCAAATAATATTTTTTAAATTAAAAAATATAATTAATTTATAAAATATTATATTTAAATCTAGATTGGTATAAGAAGTTAATTAGCTTAAACAAATTTACCTAAATAAAGTTAATTAAATTAAAATTTAAATGTTAAATAATTAATTATTTATTAAATATGAAATGTCTAGTTAAATAAAACATATTAACTCATAGTATTAGTTAAAGGTTAGTGACTTAAATAGTATGCTTTCAAAAAAAATATATAATTAAATAAATAAATAAATAAACAATAAATTACTTCAAATATTTTGTTTCATAAATTATCAATTAACTAAATTATGTTTAAGCGCACTCATATAGATATCATTAATAATTTTATCCTGTCATAACATGACACGTTTATCTTGTTAATGAAATGAGAATTCTAATGATAAGATTTCCTCGACAAGCTCGTAAAGACGAGTTTTTTTGATGATATCCCTAGATAAGAAAAACTTCAAGACTTCATCAAAGCGTTGGAATAGTCTACCAATTTTTCGATAAAAGGTTATTATTCTTATTATTTAAAAATGATACATCATGACATCATTTTATAGCTACATCATATACATCTATAAAATCGAATAAAAAAATTTAATCTACTAATATAATAAAGAATAAACTAATAAACAAAGATTAAAAAAACATCAATAATTTAAGCTCTAATAGAATAACGTAAGATTTAACGGTACCATTCATGAAACGGAAGCCATCAAGGTGCTAATTCTTTCTCGTGTATAACCGCACTCCCGAACCCATCTGTAAAAACCTAAATCAATTCACGTTCTTTCGACGGACCTAAAAATTAATTTAATACTTCATCGATTAGAACCGAGTTAATAAGTGATCAATCACACTTATACAAAAAAAATTGATAATAACTCTAAATACTTAATTTTGTCAACATCTAATAGGCGAATTCTCAAGCCCGTGCGTTATGACAATATCATGCAACTGCCTCAACAGATACAAACTTAGTCCTATCATAACCTCTACTGCAGCGTTGCGTCTGCTGGAATGAAAACTTGGCAGCGCTGCAGTGCCAAGCTCACTGCTGGGAAAAGGGAGCTTTGCAGCGCTGGGCAGTGCAAGATGCGGCTGTGCCGTTTGATCAGTATTTGAGGAATGTGAGGTTGTTGTCAAGGGAGCAGTTCTTTCGTAGGGCTACATAGTATTATATTTTATACATATAATTTTATAAAATATAAAAAGTAAAATTAAAGAACGAATCCCCTTTTTAAAAATATATTATATTGAATTATATAATACGTATCATATATTATATAATATTTTTGATATTTAATTAATATAATATAATCTATATTAATTTTCGTTAACACCGTATGATTATAAATATCATAATTATGGACCTACAATATTTAAAAATGGAGAGAGAAATAACTATGGACACACACGGCCCATTTAGCACAGACCAAGAGACAACAAAAATCCCCGTAATCCTAATCCAGTTCCAGCCCTCCTCCCAGTTGAAGAAGCCATGTAAACGTAGAAAGGAAAAGGGGTAACAGACATGAGAAATGTAAGAAAGGCAAAGCAAGCATGAGCTCTCAGCTCTTAACTTCTCCTCCACCTTTCACCACCCCAACACCAAAGCCCCACTCCCACACTCTTTCCCAAAGAACCCAAATCCCTCTCCATGTTTATAAACACCCAACAGCCATCCTTTTAGAACTCTCAACTTCCATCAAAGAAGTCTACCAAATCCTTCCCCATATCATCAAATCCAATCTCTACTCCCAACATTTATTCCAAACCAAACTCCTTAGCCTTTTCTGCAATCACGGCTGCATTCCTGAAGCCGCCTCTGTTTTTGAACCCATTGAAGATAAACTTGACGTTCTTTATTACACTTTGCTTAAAGGGTATGCCAAGCACTTATCATTAAACCAAGCTTTGTCGTTTTTTGTTAGAATGAAGGTTGATAATGTTAAGCCTGTTGTTTATAACTTTACTTACTTGTTGAAAGTTTTTGGTGATAATGGGGAGCTTAGAAGGGGTAAGGAGATCCATGGGCAGCTGATAAAATATGGGTTTTCTTCGAATGTCTTTGCAATGACTGGAGTTGTTAATTTGTACGCAAAATGTAGACAAATTGAGGAAGCTTATAAGATGTTTGATAGAATGCCTGAAAGAGATTTGGTTTCGTGGAATACGATTATTTCTGGCTTTGCACAAAATGGTTTGGCTAAACTTGCTTTGGGGTTAGTTGTTAGGATGCAAGAGGAAGGACAAAGGCCTGATTCGATTACGATAGTTTCGGTTTTGCCTGCTGTGGCCGATATGGGATTGGTTAAAATAGGAAAGGCAGTTCACGGTTATGTTATGAGAGCAGGTTTGGAAGGGCTTGTGAATATCAACACTGCATTGCTTGATATGTATTCGAAATGTGGGTTTGTTGGTATTGGGAGGTTGGTTTTTGATGGGATGAAACAGAGGACTGCCGTGTCTTGGAATTCAATGATTGATGGTTATGTTCAAAGTGGAAATGCTGAAGAAGCGATGGTTGTTTTTCAGAAGATGTTGGATGAAAGAGTGGAACCGACTGATGTTACGATAATGGGGGCTGCTCATGCTTGTGCTGATTTGGGTGATCTTAATCGCGGAATGTTTGTTCATAAGGTATCAGATCGGTTGAAACTTGGTTCCAATGTTTCTGTTATGAACTCTTTGATTTCTATGTACTCCAAATGTAAGAGAGTTGACATCGCTGCAGACATTTTCAAAAAATTGCATGGTAAAACCCTTGTTTCTTGGAATGCTATGATTTTAGGCTTTGCTCAAAATGGGTGCAGTAATGATGCTTTAAACTACTTTTACGAGATGCATTCTCGAAATATACGACCGGATACATTTACGATGGTGAGTGTGATTCCTGCTCTGGCGGACTTATCAGTTACACGCCAGGCAAAGTGGATTCATGGATTTTGTATAAGAGGTTGTTTGGATGCTGATGTTTTTGCGATGACTGCACTGGTTGACATGTATGCAAAATGTGGAGCAATTCACACTGCCAGGAAGCTTTTTGATATGATGAAAGAGCGGCATGTGACTACATGGAATGCAATGATAGATGGTTATGGAACACACGGGCTTGGAAAAGCTGCTTTAGAATTGTTTAATGAAATGCAAAAGGGCTCCATTAAGCCAAATGATGTGACATTTCTATGTGTTCTCTCTGCTTGCAGCCACTCAGGTATGGTGCAAGAGGGGCTCTGCTATTTTAACAGCATGAAAAAAGATTATGGCATTGAACCTGCTATGGACCACTATGGAGCCATGGTTGACCTTCTTGGTCGAGCTGGTCGGCTAGATGAGGCATGGAATTTCATTCAAAAGATGACTATTGAGCCAGGGATTAATGTTTATGGTGCCATGTTGGGTGCTTGCAAAATTCATAAAAATGCTGAGTTAGGAGAGAAGGCAGCAAACAAATTGTTTGCATTAAATCCAGATGAAGGTGGGTACCACATACTGCTTGCTAACATATATGCAACAGCTTCAATGTGGGGTAAAGTGGCTAAAGTTAGAACTTTGATGAAGAAGAAAGGGCTTCAGAAAACACCTGGCTGCAGTGTAGTGGAGTTGAGGAATGAAGTTCACAGTTTCTACTCTGGGACCACAAACCATCCTCAGTCCAAAAAGATCTATGCTTTCCTTGAGGAGCTGGGAGATAAGATCAAAGCTGCAGGTTATGTGCCTGACACAAGTTCAATACATGATGTAGAAGATGATGTTAAAGAGCAGTTAAACAGTACCCATAGTGAGAGGCTAGCTATTGCATTTGGGCTTTTGAATACCAGCCAAGGCACACCCATACACATTAGAAAAAACCTGAGAGTTTGTGGTGACTGTCATAATGCAACTAAATACATTTCACTTGTGACTCGACGAGAAATCATAGTGCGAGATATGCACCGGTTCCACCACTTCAAGAATGGAACCTGTTCTTGTGGAGATTATTGGTGAAATTGTCTTTGTATGAGTCTTAATTCTTAAGAGCTGTTTATTGGTGAAATTATCTTTTTATGACTCTTCATTCTTGAGCGATAATGCACAGTTTATTATTGGAATCCGAAATTTCTGAGGAATAAGGCCCTGAACATGGAAATAATGAGATTTCTGATGAAATTTTCTTAGTTCATCTCATATTGAGTGTGAAGTCTGAATTAAAGGTTCCAAACTAGAAGAAACAAGAGGTTTGGAAAGCCATGCCATGACTGCTTAATGGAGCAACATCTCATGTTTTTGTCATCTCCTGTCTATAACTTGTTCTTACTGTACCACCTTATGCTTGACTCTTTAATTTGGAAAAAGAAACTCCTTCAATCTAACTATAATTGTATTATCCCCTTTCTTTTCAATAGTGGGAAAGTTTTTTTAATTACTTTTATGCGAGAAATTATTTTCATTTTACATCCATGATTTTGTATGTATTAATGAAATGTGGAACGATAAAATTTATTAGTCATTCTATGAATTTGCCTTTGAGTTCCAAATTAATTTGATTGATAAAGTATAGCGTTTCTTACAGGTTCTTTTGCACGGTGCCTACAAGCCCTTGATTTTTCACTCTTATTCGATAATTACTAGCAGATGCAGGCAGAAAGTTTTCTAGGTGCTCAATCTGGTTTAGTCACATATTGGCAGACCTATTACAAAGGTAGTGGACAACATAATTGTTTTTTTATAGAGAGTTTCCAGTAATGGATTAATTAACCAAATCATCTTTCTGCATTAGTTTTGAAGCTGCTATCAAAATTGCAGGTTGGGAGTGGGACTGTACTAAGTGCCATGGATGCCAAAACAGCCATTAATGCTGGACCCAAGTTTCTCATGAGTCTTGCTACAGCAAAGGTATATACTAAGAATTCTAAGACTGTATATGTATTTATATTCATCTTTTGGAAACTGACAGAGATCAGTCTTGAAGCTTATTAATGTAGAACCCTGGGAGGAAATATAGGTTGGAGATGAAATTAGAGGGAAAGGGGATTAATATAGAATAATTTAGGGAGAAGTAGACAAGTAATTATGTAAATTATCTATTGTGAATTGGGAATAAGGATTGAAGATGTGATTGATTATTCTTTGTTATTCAGATGCTGCATTTTTTACACCAAATGACATTGCTTTCCATTCATACTATCCAAATGGAATTGTGGAAGTTGTTTTATATTTTAAATTATTTTTCATGTTTTTTAATATAAAATATAATTTTTTTTTAAATCTCTCATAAAATCAAATATGAAAATTAAATTTGAGATAGCATGAATATTGTAAAACGATTATCTTTCATCATAAATAGAGTTTTATTACAATTTGAGCAAACTTCACTTACCTCTCTTATGGTTTCAATATAAAGTTAGTATATTTGTTCACATTTAAGGGTATTTTAAAATTTTACAGAAAAAAACAAACCTAACTGGTTAACTCCTTTTGAAAACCAAGTTATTTAGTTAATGTTAATTGTTAAATAAATATATCCACAAAATGTTAATTAAAAAAAATTATAAAATACCTTATGAAAAAGGATTAAATTAACAAGAGAAAGTTTGAGAAGAGAAGTTACTTAGAAAGTGTTAATTGTTTAAGAAAATATCCATAAGATGCTAATTGGAAAAAAAAAAAAAACCCAACATTAAAATATTTATTAAAATTAATAAATCATCCTAACGTTTTAAAAAAAAATTAAATTATTTAAATAATATTTTATTTTTTATTTTATTTAATTAATTTTTATATTTTTACTTTAAATTCAATAAATGTTTGTGATTATTAATAAATTAATATTTATTAATCAAACGTGAGGTAACAAATTGAGATATGTGATATGATATTTTCACTTTCCACAACATTATATAAAATTATAAATTAGTTTGGATATAGAGTTGTATTTAGCCTCAAATAAAAGTATATAAATTTAATTCAATAATTGGCATTTAAATTTTATGTTATTTATAAAAAAAATTAAGTGATGGAGTAAGAAAACGAAAGAGAAGGTTCGGCAAAGGCGGCTCCTGCTACCAGCAACGCGTAAAACAGCTCTGCTAAGCAAAATCCCAGAACAAAATCTCTCTCCTTTTTCCTCTCTTTGCCCTTCCTCTTTTCTGTCCGAATCCTTCATCGCCCAATGGTTCCACCGCCGTCGACGCCGCCACCCAACCCCCAACAAATCCAACAATTCCTCTCCTCCGTCCTCTCCCAGCGCGGCCCTTCCTCCCTCCCTTACACCGAAGACACCAAATGGCTAATCCGCCAACACCTCCTTTCCGTCACCTCCCACTACCCTTCCCTCGAACCCAAAACCGCCACTTTCACTCACAACGACGGCCGATCCGTCAACCTTCTCCAAGCGGACGGTACCATCCCCATGCTTTTCCAGGGCGTCACTTACAACATCCCGATCATAATCTGGCTCATGGAATCTTACCCTCGTCATCCGCCGGTTGTCTACGTGAATCCCACGCGCGACATGATTATTAAACGCCCGCATCCTCACGTTACTCCGTCCGGGTTAGTTTCGATCCCTTATTTGCAAAATTGGATTTACCCAAGTTCTAATCTCGTCGATTTAGTCCTTAATTTAAGCTCTGCGTTTGCTCGTGATCCCCCGCTTTATTCTCAACGTCGTCCCAATCCAAGCCCTAATCCGAGCCCCAACCCTTCCATTAATTCCTCCATGACGTCTAGTTACGGGCAGCACCCACCGCCGCCCAGGGTGGCTGCGGCTGCCGCAGGGTATCCGCCTTCGCCTTATGGGAGGGTACAGCTGCCGCAATCTCCTGCTCCACAGACGGAGGATGCATCAGAGGTTTATAAAAGGAATGCGGTGAATAAGTTGGTGGAGATGGTTCATGGGGATATAATTGGAATGAGAAAAGCAAGGGAAGTTGAAGTGGAAGGGTTATTTTCGGCTCAAGCGGTGTTAAGAAGGAGAGAGGAAGAGATTAATAAAGGGTTGAAAGAGATGCAAGACGAAAAAGAAGGGTTAGAACAGCAGTTACAGGTTATTTTGATGAATACGGATGTGTTGGACAGTTGGGTTAGAGATAACGAAGGGAAAAGGAAGAACTTAGGAATGACTAATGTGAATGTTGATGAGGCATTTTATTGTGTTGACGTGCTTTCCAAGCAGATGTTGGATTGCACATCTGCAGATTTAGCTATTGAGGATGTGGTTTATTCATTGGATAAGGCAGTGCAAGATGGGGCTGTGCCGTTTGATCAGTATTTGAGGAATGTGAGGCTGTTGTCAAGGGAGCAGTTCTTTCATAGGGCTACTGCAGCAAAAGTTAGGGCTGCCCAAATGCAGGCTCAGGTTGCTAGTATGGCTGCTAGAGCGCCACATTATGCCACATGACTGGTTATTGTTTTGTTTTTGGATTTGTCTATGAAAGGATCATGTTATTGGAGATTAGCTTCTAGTTAAAATTTATATTATCATGATATAGCTTCATTTTGAGTTTACATGATGAAATTTATGTTTCTTTGTATCGATATGTATTATTCATAGTAGGAAAAATAGCATTATAATGTGAATAATGTGTTCCTGTAATTCATAAGTCCACACTCATTTTTGGGTTATTACCCCTTTTCTCTTTTTATAATGAATTTGCGTCCTTCAGCACAGCTGCATTAGTGAGGAAAACTGAATATGGTTGTCCACTGTATCTTTTGGTATAATGTTTCATGTCATTCATGTGGTGTTGTTAAGAGGTAATTTGTAATAGTCAGGATGCCTGTTTAATTGAAAGACCCTTGTTTACCAACTATGGATTGAAGAGTAAGGCAGTAGGAAGATCTAATATTGAATGCAAGAGTTTTTATCTGTTTCTTTTTTCTCACAAGAGAATCTACATTGGCACTAACATGTCAATTCTTTCCAATCAATTGCCTGTTTTTACTCTTGCGAAATGGCCTTTTTTTAACTCGCTGAGGTTCTCTAATGTATTATGATGAGGAAGGTAAACATTTTTGCTGATTCTTCTTGGAAGCATGGCTTTCTGTTTAGCATCTACAATCTAGTGAATATATCTATCACCACAATACTTCGCACCTCCCTGTCTATAATAGAAGCAGAAGACCTATTTGTGAATGCTGCATTGTGAATAATACTGAAACAAGCATTTATCTTTCATATTATTATGATTTTTCTCATCCTTTGACTTGATTGTTAAGTAAAAGAATGCATCCACTGTTAAATTCTGTTACGAGTTGTTCAAATGATCAACATATCTTACGAACTATCTGTTTCATGCTGTTTTAGTTATATTCTTGAGGCTAAACTTTTAACCATTATCCCATCCTCCATTTCAGTGAGGTTTATTGGATATCCCAGTAATATCATTTCCAAGCCATGTTATGTTACATCCTTGGGACTTTGATATTTCTTGCTTCAAATTTTTAATTGATCTCCTGTTCTTGAAGAATTACTTTATCTTTGTCTGGTATTAGTTACCATACTGATTTTCTGTTTTTTGGATGAGAATATCTCTGCCTCTAGTTTGCATGTGATCTCTTTCTTCATGTTGAATTAGAAAATACTTAAGATGCTTTCAAGTTGAAATTTATGGTAAGGAATCTGAGCCCAGTTCATTGCTTCTAGTCATGTTATTCACAGGATTCTTTTTTTAATGGGAGTGTATATTCTAATACTTACTGATCATATGTCAAGATTATATACATGAAGAAGAGAGATGAACTCCTACTTGTGTGATGCAATTATTCTAATAAGAAGAGACTTGTTTTATCTATGTATGACCTTGCCTTTGTCTCATTTATTGAAAATTATGCTTAATGTTTTGGTCAGAGTTATCTGCCAGGAATTATGAAAAAAAAATTTTGGAAAATTATAAATCTACAATTGATTTTTACTTTTTTCATATAGGTTCCCCTTGAAGTTGGAAAAACAGGGTTATTTTATTCATCAAAATATGGGATCTACAACGTAAAAGCTTTTCATAAAACAATGATGCTGAACAATGATTTCATAAAACAATGATACTGAATATGTATAGTACCACATGATTATTTATTTATCATTTCTATACATGCAGATGATTATAAATTTAGTAAGTTAACTAACTTTAGAAATCAGTACTTCTCATTTCTATATCTGACAGTCCAGGTGATTAGGGGAGTTTGCCTTTCACCTTGGACCATCTTAGTTATAACCATCAAAGAGACAACCCTGCAATAAAAAGTGACATATAACAATATTAATTCATTCATATATTGTTTTTACCAGGCAAAATGATGGCCTTGTCTTCATTTTAAGGAAAGGAAAATTTATATGGAATTAGTATTTGATGAATAATGCACCAAGTGTGAGTATTTGCTTACGATGGGACTTCATACGGCAAAGTACTGTTTATTGCTATGTTTGTTTAAACTTTGAATAGAATGAACCTATTAGATTTATAATAACAGTTGCAAATCAGGTTCATACCCCAGTTTTTACAGGAATTTATGAGGAGTTTTGGATGCCATTATTCAGGTGAATCCAGAAGGTTGTGGTTTTGATATATAGGTATTGTAGTAGACTACCAGTTGATTATTTTTTTTAAGATTTCAAAAACCAATGGAATGGTGATTGGAAGATCATTTCAAGAAATATGATCTCAATCGTATATCATCTTGTGTGGTAAGTCATGCTCAGGAGACTTCATACACTTTCATAGCTATAATCTCTCTCTCTCTCTCTCTCTCTCTCTCTCATTTGAATTATATATACAAAATTTATGGTTGCTCGACTTATTTGACGCTAATATGTCCACCTTTCATTTAGACTGGAGTTTGGTTTATGTGTACTTCATTTTCATGGCATCCATTGGGAAAATACAAACCAGGTGTAAAGTTGTTCATAGGTTGGGATTGGTTCCGTCACTTAGATGCTGATTTGTGCTATAATTAGTTGATTGGTGTGTCTTTGCTGAGTAATATATGGAGTATCTGGGTCCTAGCCTGTAAATTGTTGCTTTTGTAAGATATTCATCTCTGCTGAAATCGATTGGTGGTTGTTTTCATTTCCTGGTGATTTGTGGAAGTTTATGATCTGGATAATGTTCTGCTTGAAATTCTGGAGTGCTGGGTTTTGTAGACCTTAGTTGATGTTGTTTCCTATTGACGGGCCGTATGAGATTCATATCCATTTGCTCATAAAGTTTTATTGATGGGTGTTTTATTTACTTGGAATTGATTGAATGTGTCATCTAGGGCATATTTTCATTCTCTTTTAGGGCATTAAGTTTGTCTTCCTTTGTTCCAGTTTGGCTGGGATTGTTCTTCCCATAAGTATTGTTGGATGACAGTTTGTTTGTATTGGCTCTCTGTTGAACTGTGTGATTTGTCTTACGGTTTGCTAGTGATTTTGGATGGTTATCTGCATTGTGAGAACCATTGATGTTATACTTGCATTAATTTGGATTTGGATATCATTGTCTACCGTTGCTGGTGTTTTTTAGATCTTTGATTTTTTTTAAAAAAAAAATTCTTACTATCTTAGCTATGAATGGGAGTCAGATGCCCCAAATGGCATCACCCTGGCAAAGATGTACAAACCATGTACAATGTTTAGTTTATGCAATTCTAAATAAAAGCCCCAAATGTACTTTTATGCAATTTTGCATGTCACTTGATTCATGGTACCATACTCATTTGTTTACTTTATCTATAACCTAATACAAAAAGAAGTTCTGATGGGGATCGCAGACATGGTTAAGTTTTTCACATGGAACTATGAAATAGGTAATTGTTATATACACGAATTAATTAATTAATTTCATAGATATATTTAATAAAATACATGTCAATACTCTAACAATATCACATCTAGAATTTAGAAATTAAGTCACTAATTTGTAGAATAAAATTTTCTTTATAACATATATATGCAGTGTGAATTGCGATCATATTTCTCTTTTTCTTACAATGTAAGAAGTAAAAATTAAAAAAACCTTAAATTGTTTAATAAAATTAAAATAAGCTTTTATTCTATGAGGATAACGTGGTGAAAATATTATATAATCATGTCATATAAGTATATCACATTATCATCAAATATAATATATCAGTATATTACATTTACAACACGTGGTATAAAATAACAAATGATATTTTGATCCATGATAATTAATTGGTTGCTAATTATAAAATTTTATTTAAATCTAAATAAAATTATACCAGTTTAATTGAATATAATTAAAATATAAAATTTTATTTAATTTTTTTTAAATATGTTCAGATATTATGTCATAATTTTTCTTAAATCACATATGAAGTGTAAATTTTGACCAAATGGCTCATTTTCTTACATTGGGAGAGAAGAAAGAAAGAAGCAAAGTTGGACAACCGTGTTGCCAAATTTGGACTGACGTGGAAGAGTGTGACGGGACCTTCATATTCTTCAGAAAAATTCCTAGTTTACTTTAGCAAAAATGTTACTCATACTGAACTTTTCTCTACACGCGTTTGGTCCTCGAGAAAGTGGCTCCCCTCGAGAAAATTTTTGACCTCATTGCCTTTTGTTTTTATCCCACGAGAAATAGTTAATTAAAAAAAAAGAAAAGGAAAACAACAGCAAAAAGTTCAAAAGAAAACCCTAATAAAAATAAGCTGCCCAAATGCACCATCACATTTACTTAACGCCTATAGCATCTCCCTGACGACGTCGTTTTTCATCTCTTCCGGCGATCGTATCAGGTTTCTCACCGGCCAGAGATTCTTACCTTTTTTCTACTACTTTTAATCACGATTCCAAGGTTTCTTTCTTTCTCTCTCTTTTTTATAAATGATTTTTTTTTGTTTATTTGTTTGTTTGTTTGTTTATAGGAAGTGTAAACTATTATATAATTTGATTTTTTTTTATGTTTTTTTTGGATTGTTTTGTGTTTATTAACTTGTTGGTTGCTTATTTGTGATGGAAGGAGCAATGGGTTTGTTTCATTTTGGTGAATTTTAGTAAAGAAGCTGAGGTTTGGGCACTGTTTGAGTAATTGAGGAATTGGGCAGCCCAAATCAATGCCAAATGGTTGATTTCTAAATGCTTGTCTATGTGTGAAAGTTAGGTGCTGAGCTTGGTTAGCATGGGATTTAGGCATGTCAATTTTATTGAGGCGAATGCCTGGAAAGATTGAGATGTTGTTATCTTGTTTTTGGTGAGCTTGGATATTGGTGGGATTTGTTATTTCTTACAAGTTAGTGCAGTTCTTTCCAATACGAATACCTCACTGAACATTGGCATAGACTTAGTTTTGGATAGATACTGCTCTAGTTGATGAAAATTAAGTTGTCTTGAATCTTTTGGTATGGGCAACTGCATGCCTTGGGAAAAGTTCATGATTGTTCTTCAAGTCAATTCTTATGTCCTGAAAAACTGGTATTGGATAACAAACCATGTCATTGCTAGCAAAAAATGACTAAGCATTGGTTTCAAAGAATTAACCTTTGTGTTGTCGAGTGACTAAACTTGCTACTTCAAGTGAGTTGTTCTGTTCCCTCTTTCTTTTTCCCGCCATAGTTTTTCGGTTTTCAGTATGACATCAATACTGTGTGCTGATGGTGATTACTGAAAACCCTTGGCTATTTGTGGAAATGCTTCCTCTGTTGAACATGGTGTGGGGCAGAGCTCTTCCACAACCTGTTTGGGGTCAAATTGAGTATTATCTGATAAATGTATGTGTACTTTTGTGGTTTTTGTTGTAATTTAACATCAGAATCTTTGGATTATGTTTTGTTATAATTATGTTCTCTTATATATTCCAATCAAGTATGGAATTTCGATCTCAGATGCTGTTATAGTCCAAGTGTTTGCCTTGTGCAACTTTTGGCATTATAAATCGGGCTTAATGGTTAAGCCTAAAAAAGTTTAACACTTCTCATACTGGTTTTTCCTAATCTGGAATGTCTCTGTCTTGTAAAGTTCTATGTTCCTGTAAACATGGGTATCTATATTCTATTAGAAGGAAGTAAGATGTCTAGTCCCTTAGCGCATGTAATTATTGTAGTCTTAATAGCATTTCTGCAGCGTTTATGAGTGGTGTAATTGATGTAATTGTTAGTTTAATATGTAGTTTTGTCGGAGATTGTTCAGAGCTGATACTTCCAGCAGTTTGAATCTTATGTGTGTACACATAATTGGAGGTTGGAGAGTGAAGGGGTTGGTTAAGAACCCCCTTCGGCTCATTCTGATGTCCTCCCACCATCCACCGTGAACCCTCAACCTTTTAAACCCTCACATTTTATCACCATGAACATAGGGCTAGAATTCAAAGAGGATACAATTAAGCAAATAAGAAGTGAGGTAAGAGAGAGGGAATTGCAGTGTAGCACTGATCACTAACTACTCACTTGTAGACACAGAAATTTTTAGATTTGATAACCCCTATATGTTAAAAGCAAGACAAGAATTCCATCCTCATAGCCTCAAAAATCATAATATAAGAAAAGGAAGAAAGAAAAATTATGGACTTAAGAAATACCTTGTATGTTTTACTTGGGATGGAGATTGATACATGGCTGTTTTTTTCCCTCTTCCAGTCTGATATTATATTTAAATGCGATGAATTAAAAGTGAAAGACATGGGCCTTTCTTTTTAACGGAGCAGATGCGTTTTAGGAGTTGAATTTTATTGGACAGTGGTTATGTAATTCATTTAGCAAGTAGAATAGTTGAAGTCCAGGGGAATGAGTTGGATTTGTGAGTGAGCTTCTGTTGTAGGCGACTGTGCTATCAGGTTGGTAATTTGATCCTTGATTGGTCTGATCTTACAGTGCAACCATTTAAGAGTCAGAACTTGGCCTAACCCACCTTCTCTGGTATTGAGCTTTTTAACCTGGTAAGAGCTAGTTAACAAATATTTTGTCCCCTCTCTTTGTCATGCAAAACTTTCCCCTCTGAATGTATGGACATATCCTTGGCATTTTAAGATCCCAAAGTTCCCCAGTTTTTCAAAATTTTGTCATTTCCTTTACACTTACCCTTTTGCACATCATACTATGTATGGCATGTTGGAACAGGGGTCTTGCATTTTGATTTTTGAAAATACCAGGGCCTAAATTGTAGTGTTGACATTTTCACAGAGTATTCATGTAATCTACCTACTCCTATGTCATATTGCATTATAAAAATCAAAAGCCAACAACCCCCTGCCCTTTTTTTTTTTTCTTTTTGAGAAAGAACTATGATCTTTATTATTACTTTGTTCCATGAGAGCTTGATCTTCCTAGTTTAGGTAAGGCTTTCTCTCTTTTTTTGGGGGGGGTGAAACTTAGGTGAGTCTTTATTTTCCTTTGTTTCTTTCACATTACGCATCAATAGAATTTGGATTTATCTTCAGTCAGAACTACATAAGTGTTAATAGTTGTTTATATATGCTTGAAATTTGATAGTTGGGAATGTGATTTATAGAAGAAATTAGTAGTGAATACTTATGTTCTTAGTTATAGTTATCCTTAGTTTTAGCTGTCTGCACATTTTCCTGTGACTATAAATAGTTGTGTAGTTTTATTTATTTTTCTACTTTCATAATTTTTATTTTTATCCAATTTTTAATTTGTAAACTAGTTCAGTCGTTGACCTATTCATCCAGTTCTTTGGTTGAGTCAATGTCCAGTCCAGTTTTGAGCATTGTGTATGGTAATATGGTAGTTATGGAGTTGAGGGATTTGATTTGATTTGAGACTGCAAGATGAAAGGAAAGGCTGCCCTTTCATTATTTGTGTAACATTTGCCTTTAAGTTGCAGAAGTTTCCTCATCAGTGCAAGTTAATTACTTATCATCTGTAATTTGCCCATAAGTAATGGCAATTTAAGTCTATATAGACCATTTCTGTTTGCTATTAACATCAACTATTATAAACTGGATACAGTTGCATCATTTCAAAGTGTTTAATTGCTTAAATGTTTACATCTATATACATACAGAAGGATAAAAGTATGACAACTCAATTGAAAATAAAAACAATGGTCAAGTGAGTAATTTGGGCTTCATCCATATTCCAAGTTGTGGTCTGTCATATTATTGGATTTAAATGGAGAAAATCCAGCTGCATCTTATTTCTTATAAGGAGTATAATTGCTTAGGTTTTCTCTTCTCTTTTATATTTTCGTTTTAGTTATCATAAGAGCAAATCTGGTTACTTGTACAAGTATTAGATCTTATCAATGCCTTGTGTTCTTCAAGGGTTAATGATAGTGTCCATATCTATGATATGAGCCAAGCCTCTGTTTAGCCCTGCCTTCCAATGCTTAAATCACCCAATTTGCACAGAATGACACTGCTCATTTCTGTCATTTGATCCAAGCCACTTTTACGTCCCTGCCTTCTAACTCCTAACTGTCCTAATTTGCATATGGTTTCATGTGCTGGTAATTTACACCCAAAGCATGGTTCCTTTCTGTTTGGTTGGAAGGGTTAGTTTTTTGCAGTTGCATGTGCTTTCGTCTTGTGTTTTTAAGATTACAAGTACTGTTAGAATCTTTGCATATATGGTTAAACAAATATGGCTGATTGACCATGAGTCTTTGAGCTATAAACTTTATTATTACATTTTGAATATTCAATAGTGAATTAGAAGCCATGTCCTTGTGTTGTTGGTGTTCACTATTGTCTGCTGCTGGAAAAATTGAGGGGAGCTAAAGAAATGAAATTTGAATGTATGGGGCATTGTAGATATGCCACCAGGGGCCATGACTGCACCCCGGGGGGGTGGGGGGTGGGTGGGTGTGGAGCAAGATGGGTGATATCACAGTTCTATCAGATGATATGATGATCCACATGACCCTTCTTTGACAATCCTTTTCCTCTTGTCAGCTATGTTGCCTTTTTGCTTTTACTGAGCAACTCTGTAATCCTGAGTGACTCTGCCAATTTGCCATTTTGGTCAAGAGAACATGGTAAAATATCCTGCTTTATGATCTATATTCTGAAAATCACAAGAAACACGGGTAATATATAAAACTTGAGAGCATATCAGTTAACACTGTCTCATCAATGAAACCAAACAGATAGGAGGGCAAGGAATTCGTTTGGTAATATATAGATAGATAGTGAGAAGTAAACAATGAAATATTAGTCTTTCAGATTCCCAATAAAGACATTTCAGAGACAATATCAAACTGTGTGGGTTGCATTAAACTGACTTAATTTTAGTGCATTTTGACTGAGGTTTTTTCTTTTCTTTTTCCTTAAATGCTGAAGCTGATTTAATTTTCAAGCAGTAAGAGTTAGGGCATACCAATTACATGTCAGACAACTAATTCCCTTTGTAATTTTCATTGTCAATAATAGTAGCAAATGCTCTGAGAAACGGGGCATAGCCTAAGTTGCATGATGCAAAGGTTATATAGGTTTGCAATTTTTCTTGGTTAATTCTTTAATTGAATTAGGGTTAACTAGGATGTGAGGTTTACAGTGAAATTGCTTTTGGACTTCATTTCGGAAGTTATTTGCAAACTAATTTTTGTTGATACAGAATGTAATGTGACTCTCCTCTTGGACTTTATTGTGTCCTCTATTGTCTGTTAACATGAGAAAACAATATGAATATTATTTTTCAGCCGGAGTCAAAATTGTTTAGATAATCATTGCTTTGTTTATTTGTTTGTATGATTGTGGCATCATGGAATCCTCAATTTGACTTCTATATAATTTTTGTTGAGCAATGTTTTCTATTGCACCGTAACATGACAACGCCATTCTTTTTTCGTTGTACTGGATTAGGAATGGACCACTATGACCTGCAGGCACAGAGAAGGGAGATGAAGCATAAGGGAAGAAATGTGGTATGGTCGATTGCAATGGACAAGTGTCTCATTGAAGCACTGGCCATTCAGGCTAAAAATGGGAATAAAATTGACAAATGCTTTAATGAAAATGCATATACTGCTGCTTGTATTGCTGTGAATTCTCGTTTTAATTTAAACTTGAACAATCAAAAAGTTGTTAATCGTCTTAAGACAATTAAGAAAAGGTACAAGGTGATGAGGGATATGCTAAGTCAGGATGGATTCAGGTGGAATCCAAATTCAAAGATGATTGAATGTGACAGCGAAGATCTTTGGAAAAGACACATAGCGGTCAGTGTGTTCTGCATTCTTCTCCATTTTTCTTTTTTTTTTCTAATAAAAATTTTGAAGGAAAAATTCTTTCTATTGCTTAACTTCAAATATATTGAGCAGGCACATCCTGATGCAAGAGGATTTCGAGGAAAACAGATTGAGATGTATGATGAGCTAAAGATTGTCTGCGGAAATTATCAAGCCCCTAGTCGTTGGGCTAAGATGAAGGATGGAAGTCATCCAACCGGGTATAAGAATTTGGAAGAAGATTCTGCTTCTTTCTTATCACCAAGTTCAGATGACTTAAGTGATACAGATGGAACAGAGTCATATACTGGGCAACCGGAGTATTTGCAAGATGGTAGTCAAGAGCCTCCTGTGATGGAGCCTCTCAGACAACTTCCAAAGCGATCACGTGGCTCAGATTCTCTTCAGGAGGCAATGTTGGCAGTGGCATCAAGCATTCGGCGGATGGCTGATGCAATGGAGCGAAGTAAAACTACAATCAATCCCTCTGAATTGCTACAGGCAGTTATGGAGGTTGATGGTCTGGAAGAAGCTAAACAGATGTATGCATTTGAGTATTTGAATGCTGACCCTATCAAAGCTAGGGCCTTCATGACGTACAATGTTCGGATGAGGAAGACATATTTGTTTAGACAGTTTTGGTGGTGGAAATGAATGGTGTTGAGTTTTGAACCTTTTGGTATATAATCTACAGTACTGTGGGAATACTTAATGGATGTTGGCACATCAAACCTTATTTCATTGATGCTTGGAGGTGAATGTACAGCTTTCAGATGTTCAGAGGTTAAACATATATGGCTTGAAGCCACTACTGTAAAGCAACAATCCGGGCGCTTATGTCCCTCTTCTTTGAGTGAAGGTAGCTTTAGGTGTAAAATTAACACTTTTTCTGCCTCTACTCTCCTAACAAGCTCAAGTGTTATTTTTATCATGTTGGATATAGATTGTCAATGTTTTTCCTGTCCCTCCCCAACACCCTCCTCTTCTTGTTTCATGTTTCTCCAATACCTTAAAACTATTTGAAGTCAGTTTACTTGTGTAGTTGTTACATTGAAGAGCTCATTCTGATGATACAAGCTTTTCCATCTAATGAGTTCTATTTGCAGGCCTTCTTTTTGGAAGCAAAAGAATGTTCTTGTATCATTCAGAATCAGCATTACACTCAAGCAATGTGAATACATTCAAGATAACATCAGGACATATTCCTCAACCCAGAAAGTATCATAAATCATAATCACAAATATAAGCTTTGCTTTGCTAATGAATGAGCATCTCCTTGTACTACATTCCCTGCTTCCCCTTTTGTGGGTTTTTACAGTCCATCAAAGTTTATTGTATGCTTCAATGGTGGAAGAGGCTGCCATCACTCATTTACCGGGGAAGATTGTGTACATTGTCACTACCCATTTCGATTAACAACTCATGATTGAATTTGCCCTTGTTTAGGATAAGATTAGGGACCCAAGTTCAAATCTTTGCTCATTCGTCTGAAAATGGTACGTTTAGACGGCTCAGTCTGGTGATATGGGGATTGCACATAAGTTGTTTGATGAGATGGCCGAGAGAAATGTAGCAGTAGGTGTTTGAGGCTCGATGATTTCGGGGTTTTTGTATGTGTTTTTTGTTTTAATATAATTCTACCCGAACCGTTAACTCCCAAGCTACAGTCATCCAATTACAAAGGTCATGGTTTTGAGGGCCTTAACTTAATCAGTAGATGAACTTCAATGGCTGACCAGAACTGCAATCCGACCATTCCTTTCGACCGCATAAAGCTCAACGTTGGCGGCAAGCTTTTCGAAACCACCGTCTCCACCCTCCAATCCGGCGGTCCTGATTCCCTCTTGGCCGCCCTCTCCAACCGTCCTTTGCATCATGATTCTAACCCCATCTTCATCGACCGTGATCCTGAAATCTTCTCTGTTCTTCTTTCGCTCCTGCGCTCTAACCGCCTCCCTTCCGCCGCTCTCCGTCGCTTCTCTCTCCAGGAACTAACTGACGAGGCTCTTTATTACGGCGTCGAGTCCCGCCTCCGCTCTGCCTCTTCGCCCTCACCACTCCGTGGCATAGACGCCGCTTTAGTCGATACCATCCGCCCTGCCGTTGACGCTGTTCCTTCCACTTTCTCCGCCGCCGAAGACGGGTCTCTTTGGATCGCTCACGGTGGTCAAATTTCACTCTATGATTCCTACTTGTCATACTCCGCCGCTGTGCGTACACATTCGATGACATCACCTTGATTTGCCGGGTCTGGCCGGATATAGCCGCTGTCGGATCAGAATCCTCCTCGGGCCTCCACTTCTACGACCTCTCGAGCGGGCGCTATGCCGGTTCAGTTCATTGGACTGACCAAACAGACCCGCGGATATACAAGGCTCGGGTCAGCTCCATCGCTAAATCACGGGACTCGCTCTTCGCGTCGTTCGAATGTCCTCATAGGGAGAACGGCGTCCTCGTGATTGACAAATCAACGCTCCAGGTTTCATCGGAGCTGGCTCGCCAATCAGGAACCGCAGCGAAGAACACAGTAGCTGGAAAGCTGACGTGGCTGCCAGCAACTGGTTTGGTTATAGGCAGTGCTGTCACGTCCGGGGCGTTTGGTTACTCCGGTTATATCAGGATGTGGGACCCGAGAAGTAGGGAGGTGGTTTGGGAGACGAGCGAGCCAGGTTCAGGCCGCAGTAGCAGGTTCGGAGATTCATTTGCTGACGTTGACGTCGACGCTGAGGACTTGACTCTCTTCAAGATATGCTCAAAATCGGGGGACTTGGCAATGGCAGACATTCGTAGCTTAGGGAAGACCCTTGGTATATAGAAAGACACAAATCCTAGCATGAGAGACACCAGCTCTGGCGGAAACAATGTCATCTTGCATTGCTACAGAGGACAGGTTTTCGTGGGGAAGGACGGAGGACTTGAGGTTTGGTCGCGGGAGAAACCATGTCAGCAAGTATGTGAAAGTCAAACTCAAAGTTTGAGGAGGAATTACGTGGATAAAGTGGAGGATGCGAGAGGAGGGATGATAAAGGAATTGAAGGAGGCGGGCAGAGATTGTTTGTAAGCAGAGAAGATGTGGAGGGGATTGAGGTTTGGGAGAGTTCCAACTATTCTGGAGTTTCCTCCTACCACAGAACAAAAGGCATTGAATGAGTAGATTCTATTTGGTATGAAGAATTGAGTCTCTGAACTGAGGCTTTGTATTCCTTTTATTGTTGTAATAGTGTTTGATTTGTTTTATCAACTTGTAATGGGATTTAATTCGTCTGAAAATCATATGACCGATAATAATATAATCAAAGTCTGAGTTTTCAAAATACGGATACATCTTTTGATGGTGTTAGCTGTTTATAACAATGGGGTTTTTAATTTTGGTATCAACTTCAATTTTGATTGGCAGGCAATGGTCTCAGCTGTGCTATTTCCTCCAAGGCACAGTGATGGGTTAGTAGTGAACTACTGGAACTAAACACAGCAATGAGGTTGGTCATGAAACTTCTTTAGACTTTTAAGGGGCAGTGTTTTTTGTTGCATTATCTTATTCACTTCCTCAGTTGGGAATTTCCTTTGCAGTTCTGTGATAAGGAATATGCCTTCATCCTTGTTTCTCTGTCTTGAAACCTTCCTACCCCACTCTCCAAAATTTGTATGCAAGAATGCAAGTCAGTCGTTTATCATGTTCTAATTGATAGTTACTGCAAAAATTGCCAAAGCTAAGGTTTAAATTAAGCAAGAGTGACTTGGTGTCTTCCTTTATGCGAAGCATTTGTACTACACAGAATATTTCTTTTTCATCTTTTTGAAAGGCCACATTATCTTTCTTTTCCTTCTCCTTTATTTTCTTTATCTGTTATTGTTGATTAATAACTTATGACAAGGTGTTACAGTTGTGTGGAACATGTTGTTCCATTTAGCATTGTCAGTTTGAGCAGTTTTTAACCTTAGCTCTTGTCTTTATCTTTCAAAATGTCTTTCCAGAGAATTTTCATGTTCCAGTTGCTGTTGTTGCTGCTGTTACTTGGTCAAACTTATATGTACTAGATTCTTTTTCCTTGTCTCATTTACTGCTATTTCTAATATGGGCAGATGTTCTTGCTGCTTATTCTGTGTCGAAGATGATGGTACACTTAACAAATGTGTGGAAGCTTAATCTCACACATGCCAATGCCATTGTCAATCTTTGGTGGGGTGTAACAGCCATGCTACCACCAGGAATGTTGTTCATCATAGAAACTCTTACAGGTGATTTTTTTATGCTCTTAATATCTATGCTTGCCTACAGCATAGTGAAAGCCGCCCACATATTTTATTTTTTGTTACAACTATTTCCCTTTCCACTGAGTTATGTTGTTTAGAAAATTGTATAGAATAAACTTAATATCACACTGCAATAGATATTATCATTATCTTTAACGCTTCATGTAATTGCAATACTCTGTATAAAAAACCTGGACTTAAGCATTACTGCATGCAGGGGTTGGGGAAGTAGTCAGCATCATCACCACCAGTTGCTGCTAAGTTACTGGACCTGCACTTCATTTAATCCCAAATGCATCTAAAAAGGACAGAAATTCTTGTTTTGGCAGCATTAGTCTTAACAGCTTTTGGAATGTCAAGGTGCCAAACACTAGCATCCTTCAATGTTGAACAAAGGAAACAGAAGAACAGATGAGTAAAGGAAAGACTGTAGGCATAAATTTGTGGTCCATTGCTTGCTATGATCATCATTCCTATAGCTGCAGATATAGGAATGTGAATGTCCATAGTAAAGCCATGATCAATAGGGTCTGGGATTCCAGCAATAGGCATAATGACAGCAACTCTAGTGTTTTTAAGTGGTTCATGTTGGTACACCATTGATCTGCTACTTGGAGATTTCCAAATTCCATGTTAATCAGTGTTATTTCCTAATTCTTCCTAAAATAGCATTTTTTTTTTTTTCCTTTGTGGTCTCCATTACAAGGTGGACCTTAGTGTCATTGGGTATCAGATCCTGTTTCTTAGTTGTGGCAAAGCAAAAATATGATTAATTACAAGTACTTTTAGACTCTGAGCCTTGCAAAATATGAAGTATAGGGAGCTATGAATGACATGATTCAGTTTGGATTTTTAGTTGTCAATTAAAAGATGCATAATTGTGCCTTTGGTGTTCACTATCTTTGGCTGCTGGAAACTGAGGGGTGTAAGAAAATAAGTTTGAACAGATGGGGCATTTTATTGGTACCTCTATACCACCAGGGGCCTGGGCTGGGGGCTAGACAATGGATTTACTGATGAAACAGATTGTCATGTAATTGCAGTGGCCCTTTTATTGGCTCTTTTTCCTTTTGTGGCATTTTATTGCAATTTGTTTTTTTTTTACTTTTTCTGAGAAACTCCATAATCCTTAGTGACTATGCAAATATACCTTTTTGGTGAAGAATAATTTAAAATTATTATTATCTTTTCATATGTTCTTATATGATTTAATTCAATCATTGAATTTCATTTTCTATTTACATAAATTATACATATCAAATAAGTTAATCGACGATATTCAGTATTTGTTTGATTATAATAAAATTTTAACTATTAAATATATATTGAAAGGGAAAATATATTCAATCGATGTGATTTAGATATCGAATTAATTTGGAACTTCATATGTATAATTAATGGATTATTTGGAGAATTTGTATGCTAAGTTTTTTCTTTTTTAGAATCTGATCTCTAATTTCAGTAGCAATTAAGCTAGTAGAAACTAGTAATTTCATTTTTCTTCAAGTCTCTGATAGATTGGTTATTGTTTTTACCTTATGGAGGTTTTTTGTCAGTGCATGTTCGCGATGGCCTCTCGATACTATCAATATAATAATAATAATAATAATAATAATATCTTCAATTCATAATTCCCATAACCCCATTTTCCATCAAAGTTTAATTTAGCTTTAGTTATGTTTGCGGCAAGGAAATAAAAAAACCTAAGGACGGAGAAATACCTCAAGCTAATTGGAATTTCAAGGTAATTAATTTGAGCATGTGATGAAAACTTGAGAAATATTAGCGTCGTAATTTCATGTGGGAATAGAATAATACCTCAAGGTGTTAAAGTGGGAGAAAAGAAAAGCATAGGGTGTTAGGTTAGAAATCATCAAACCTTTTGATATAACTTAATCTTTCATCGTGTATGTGCGAGCATATGTCACAGATCTCACATTAATAAGAAATAAGATAATTCAGTCTTGAGTTTACAAATAATTATCTTCTTTCTCTTATCAAGTATATTTTTTAAATTGAAAACGTTAATTTGTGACAAATGGCATTAAAACATATTCAAATCTTCACTGATATGAACCTTCACAAATGATATTAAAATTAAGATAAATTTGGATTAATATACAAGTCTCTCTTTAAAATTGAAGTTTGTTTGTTGTGATAAAATGTATATGTATAACCCATGTACTAAACTTGTTGCAGATTTTGTTCAGGGCTTTAGGTTGTGTCTCTATAAAAAGCTTACCCTAGGCCCCATACAGTAACTTCTAATCCCACTCCAGTCGGCAGAAGGAACTTCATCCAAAGTACACAACAGGAACTTTCGTGTTCTAACAAAATCACATCGTTTGTTTATGTTTGGAGGATTATGTATAACTTGTGCCAAGTTGAATAACTCAAGATGGGATGACTTTGTAGGCCAATAGGCTTAAACAGGTGCGACAAAACCATCTTTTTACCCAGAGAAGCAGCCGCTCTGCCTGATAGGCCTTCCCAAGTCTCCACTTGTATTCAATGGCATTGACACCTTCTCCCTTTGCCCTTCCCTTGCCTTTGTCTTTCTTCTTTTCTTGGTTTTTGTTCTTGTTTGGTATCAAAAGAAAAAAGAAATAAAGTCTTGGTATGATGCTTGATTGATTAACATCTAAAGGGAGGCTTAATTGCCTATCCTTCCCTGTTATATATCCTGCTTTGGTCTGTATGTCCCCTTGTACTCTGTTGTTTTCTTTTCTTATATGTAATGTTTTGTCTTCTCTAAAGTTGTTGGATTGTTCCACTTATATAAATGTTATGGAGATAATAAAGAACAACTCCATGATTACTTTATTTATTTCTTTGTGAGTAATTGTAAACCCCTTCTTATCCCTCTCTTTAGTGTTATAAAGGGGAAGCCAAAACCCAAGAAGCAAACTGAACTTTCACCTTGGGTGGCCAGAGTGTCAGAAAAGATGAGTACCTCCATGTCTGAAGAGGAAGAAGCATTTGGTTACGCCTGGTGTCTACGTTCGTCCCACATGTTCTGCTTTGTCCTGGATGCAGCCATACAGCTTGGTCTCTTCGATATCATAGCTAAAGCAGGCCCTGGTGCACACCTTTCTTCCTCCGAAATTGCTTCTCAGCTCAATGCCAACAACCCCGAGGCACCTTCACTGCTGGATCGCGTGCTACGACTGCTTGCTTGCTACGATTTAGTCACCTGCATAACCCAAAACCTTGATGGAGATGGTGAGGTTGAGAGACTCTATGGACTTGCTCTGCCTGGTCAAGCATTTGTTCCTGATGAAAGTAAAGGATGCTTGGCTGGTTTTGCTATCACCAAGGCCAAGATAGAAGCCTGGTATGTAGAGAGCTATGCCTAATCTATTTACTTTCATTATTTATCTCATCACAATTTTATGTGAACATATCTTTTTATTTTTAGAGAGCACAAAGAAAAGTAATTTTAAATATAAAATTTGAGATTTATTATATTATTTTGGGAAGGTCATTTGAGCCTATTAAATATTTAATATTTTTAAAAATCGGACTGTAGGTTGAACTGTAGAAGATTCAATTTCTGATTTTTAATCCAATCACTTTTACAGACCCATACAATCAAATTATGGTGTTAGTGTCAAAAATATAATTTTGGTATGAAGTAAATATTGAATATAATTAATATTTATAATTAGATTTGAATAGCACTATCTAAATCCTAATCGAACTCGAGACAAATAGTAATTTTACTATCCAAACTCTATTTAAACTCAATTATAAAATACCTTAATTCTACTTAATTAGGTACTCAATTGTAAAATAACCATTACCATCCCTAAAGTGAAGAAATTTCTTGACTTTTTACTTTTTTATTTATGAACATATCATTGAGAACAGTATGTGCTTTTATTAAATATTTACTATCTAATACTTAATACCAAAATCATACTTTTAACAGTAACACTACCCTTATTTGTATTGTCCCATTGAACCAATTGGATCGAGAATCAAGACCTTCATGGTTCAACCTCTTGTCCGATTATTAAAACATTACTTATCATTCAAAGAAATAAAATATAAGAATTTGATTCAAACTCAATAAAAGAATAGGAATCTATTTAAATTTTTTTGAATAATTTAAAAGGTTTTTTAAATAGTATACTTTTGTGTTTTCTTATTAAAATATGGAGAATCTACATGCATTGTGTATGTGTAGCCTATACTTGAAAGACATGATCCTTGATGGTGGGAATGTGTTTGAGAGACTGTACGGGGTGGGAATGCCAGTATACCAGTATATGAGCTTACACCCAGACATGGCCAGGAAATTTGACACCACCATGACTAATCTTTCAAAGGTTGTTATGAACAAAGTTCTGGATAAGTACCATGGGTTCCAAGGCATTACTTGTTTGGTAGACGTTGGAGGTGACTATGGCGTTTCTCTCAACATCATCATCTCAAAGTACCCTTCTATCCATGGCGTTAACTATGACATGCCTCATGTTATACAAGACGCACCCTCTTTCCCTGGAATCCAACACATTGGAGGAGATATGTTCTCGAGCGTTCCTAAAGCAGATGCCATAATGATAAAGGATGTGCTCCACAACTGGAACGATGAACGATGCCTGAAACTGTTGACAAACTGCTACGAGGCATTGCCAGAGAGAGGGAAAGTCATTGTGGTGAGTTACGTGATGATTGGTGAACCAGAGGCAAGTGATGGTGCTAAGTTTGTGTGTCAGATGGACCTCCTAATGGCACTGCAAGGTGGAGCAAAGCAAAGAACAGAGAACCAATTCAAGGACTTGTCCAAGGCTGCTGGGTTTTCAGACTTTCAGCTCAACTGTCGTATTTTCAATGCAATTGGTGTCATGGAATTCTTCAAATGAAGTTACTACTCATTTCCTTTCGTGGCTTTGCTTCTTATAAGATGATACTATTAATTTTAATGAAAATAAAGATATTACGTATGAAATAATTAATATTTATAAATAAAATAATTAAATTATTTAAAAATGTTCATGAATATCTTATTTGAGTCGAATTTTAAATATAATTTTCAGATTCGTGTTTTACATGATTTTAAATATAATATTTTTAATTTAAACTTAATTGATATCAATAAAATTTAAATCTTAATTTTGATTTATAAAATATAAGTAAAATTTGATTCGATTTTAATTTAAAATAATTATAATAATTTGTAATAATCAAGTTTCGAGTATTAGAGTTATAGAATTAGATGCCAGATATTACGAACTCTAAGTTATTTCATTCATTAAAAAGAAAAGAACAGGCAAAACTAAAGTGAAAAGGAAAATGAAGGCAATGAGTTTAATCTTGTTGCCCAAGTAAGATATCATTAATTCCCATCCCGCAGACAAAGCCAACCTCGATCCTTGAGCCAATTTTCAATGACCCAAAAGACCAAATCGAAGCTCATACGTGGCGTGGCTTTTCCGTAAACAACAGGCCATTAGGCCACCCGTACAGCCTACATGCCTACGATCCTTTTCATCTTCTCCTAAAAATCACTACTCTCTGCTCTCTTAAACACTAAAACTCCATTTTTCAAGAAAACCCATTAAAGTTTTTAGCTTTTTTTGGGATATTTTAAGAAGCCTAAACAATGAAGGGAAGGAATTTAACCTTAACCAACGAAGACAATCGAAGGTCCATATCACATGCCTGGGTTTTTCCTTTGTTTTCTATATATATATATATATATATAAATGCAAAGTCTCTAACTTGGTTTTGGATTTTTCATTATCTCTTTTGTTTTCTTTCTATTGTGTGTGTTTTCTCTCAGTTGATGGGTTATTGCTAAGGGAGGAAAACAGGGAAGCTTTTGATAATGTTGATGATGATGAAGAAGACAATGGTAATGGAAAAGACTCCTCCTTTCCTTCATTTTTAACGTTAATAATGCAAAAGATTCTACCTTTCTTTCGTTCTAACGTTAATGCAAGCTTTTTTTAAAGTTCTTTTTGGTTGGTAAATACAGGTCTTTTTTAGTCCATTAGTTACCAATTTTCTCTTTGTTTCTCTATCTCTCTCTCTCTTTAGGTGTAGCATGATTTTCTTTTTCTTTTTCTTTATAAAGATAGATTTTCATTAACATATGCTTGTTGAAAGTTTCTTCTTTTAAGCGAAAAGAGTTGGTAGAGGTGATAAAACCAAATCTCAGACCAGTTAATTTGAGATGTCTTGCATTTTTAGATATAAAGGGGTCTTACTCCTCACTCCTCAATTTGTTTTAAGTTGCATGTAGACTTTAATATTTATCACTTCACAAGAGCTGCATTATTTTCAATTCCATTTTTTTTTTACTTTATCTCATTAGCTAGTGTGGTTTATTTGCTCGTGGTATTTTGAACTACAATAATACTAAAAATACTTCTTTTGTATTATATATGGTCAATTGATTTGGGTTATTGCTTCCATTTTTATGTTTTGCATTTCAATCCTTCCTAAGTGGCATTTTGGGTTACTTTAGCATCTGTATTTATCACAACTCCTTTTCAATAGTTTTAGTTGTTAAGTGTACTATTAGTTTAATTGTTCATGAACACTGATAACTGAAACTGTGTTGATGGGGATGAGCAAAAGGTTTGGGTCAAATTGAGACTGATAGCATTATAGTGTATGATAATGAGGAGGGAGAAGGAGAAAATGATCAAGATGGGCAAGGTAAGCAGAAGAAAGAGAAAAAGCGAAAAAGGTAAACTTTTAAGTCTTAATGTGTGATGTGGGTTGATCTCAATCTCATGATTATTTTTTCTGGTAAAGTGCTAGTGTTTTTTCAATTCTCCAGGAGATCGGTGAAGGATTTTGTTCATAATGATGATGATATTGAGTTGCTTCAAGAAAACAGAATCTTACGCATTTGTCATTTTCCTAATGTGAGCATTCAACTAGTTCCTTTCACTTGAATTTTCTGTGTTTTAGTTTTATTTGGAAGAATGTTTTGGTTCATTTGATTTTATTGCAAGCCCTTCTATTATTAGTCGGGGTAGGATAGTTCTAGCATTCTTTTGTTTCTTTGCAATTAAGTATTTTTTTTTTCCATTGTTTGATATCTAAGCTCCTGCTTGTGTGAGTTGCCAAGTTACACTATCCATGATTTCCCTGATCATTTTGGTGGCTGAAAATTTGCTCAGGAAAGTGAAAAGATTAAGCGGCTCAAAAAGTCTGAAAAAAGTACTAAGATGACTGAGCAATTTGGTGTTTCTGATGATGAGGATAATTTACTACTCTAATTGGATTAGTCTTCTCTTGTTCAACTTAATTATCTTAGAAACAGTTTCACTTGGTGCTTGACTCTAATTGTTGGCAATTGCTTAGATGTTTCAAATTGCCTCTCCTCCCCTCTGGAGAAAGAAAGAAGGAAAATGTTATCTAACATAGTTAAATATTATAGGCCTTTTATTTGATGATATCTTTGGAGAAGAGGAAGTTGCACATGATAATGAAGAGAATGAGATGGCAAATTTTATTGTGGATGATGGAATATCATATGGAGATAGATCACCTATGAGGTATATATTGCTCATCATGAAACCTTCAAAATTGCTTTCTATAAAAGCTTTTGTTCATCATTAAGTATTTCAAGTAATTTATTGATTATTTATTTTTTCCCTACTTATTATCTGTTTGTTTTTGCAAACATCTTTGTAGTTGTTTCAAGATGAACCAAAAGAAGTTGAAGCAAGTGGTAACCATTTTGTTCATCTGCATTAAATGATGGAGTCCAATTATTGGTGATGCTAATGAGATCTTGAATCATTAGAAACAAGTTATGGCTATAAATGTCAAGCTAGATGATTCTAGTGAGTTTGAGCCGTTTTTTCTAGCTGACAAGTATATGACTAAGAGGGATAATCATGTTAGGGAGACTTACATGCCAGAAAGGATGCAGGTTTTGTTTTGGCGCATGTGATCCCTTAACATATCTGGTCTTACAATTTGGATTAATTTCTCTATTTATTCTCCTTAGACGATCAAGGAAATTGTTGGACCTCTTCCACTTGATAAAGAAGAGTAGAGAAGAAGAGAACGTGTGGATACTTAATCAACTTGTAATGAATTCAGATTTGTTATTTTGCACAAAAAAGACTACAGAAAGTTCTGGAGCAGGATCTATTCTACTAAACAAAATAAAGAAGGCAGATATAATGAAGTTTTTGGAATTGCATCATGTGGAGAAGTTTGATGTAAGTACTGATTGCTTTGATACTAAAACTTTTCCCTCTAAGTTTGATTAAAATGCACTCTTACATGCAGGTTTTCTCTCTCTCTCTCTACTAGATTCCATTTATTGCCATGTATCGGAAGGAGCAATGTCTTAGCCTACTGGATGATATAGAGCCAGATGAGGCTAATAGCAAAGCTAATAATGATGCTGGACGAGCATGCCAATTAAAGTGGCATAAGGTAGGGTTTTGTTTAATTTTTTATTTTATGTCCATAGAGGTTGCATGGATGCCATAATTAACATCGCCTTACTATTTGAAATGGTGCAATAAAAGGTTGATTGCCTAGAATATAGTCTTATAGCATTATTTGCAGGTACTTTTGGTCATAAAAGAATTAGACAGAAAGTGTTTACTTCTTCAGAAGTGTAAAAGTGCTCTTCAGTTGTACCAAAGGAGACGTTATGATGAGGAATGTGTGAATATTGATTAAAATGAAAGATATACATTGAATAAGCAATTATTCCAATCAATCTCAAAGTCTCTCAATAAAGCTGAATCAGAGGAAGAGATTGATGACGTAGATGCAAAGTTCAGCTTGCATTTTCCTCCAGTTGAAGAGAGAATGGATGGAAAATTTAAGAGGCCCTTAAGGAAATCATAGTATACTAACTCCATGAAGGTTGGCCAATGGAAGCTAGCTAGCCAGTTTAGGTATACCTTTGATCAACTCGGTTTACAAATTGCTTTAGAGAAAATGGTAGGTGCATTGTTCTAATTATGTGGGGTGTCTATATGTTTATAGTCATGTGTGTACGTATTAATACTTTTCTGAGTAAAGACCTTGAATTTTTTTTTCCTGTATGCCTTTAAGGTACTTAGATTGCAAATTGCTTTAGAAAAAAGTGATAGGTGCACTTTTATGTAGATTTGTGCACATGCATGTGTGTGTTATATATATGCATGTATGTAAATAATTTCTTGAGTAGGGGCATGAAATTTGTTCATGTCTGTAGGGTGTGGATTTTTAAGAGTATCCTGAGGAATCACCAAAGGAGATAGCTTTAAATTTTACATGTACTATGTTTGAAACTCCAAAACTGGTGCTTAAAGGTGCCAGGCACATGGTATGTTTTTGACACTTGTGTCTAAAACTATCCTTTTTGGGGGTTGTTTTAAAGCTTGTTCTTTCGTTAACTCTTTGTTTGTTGTAGGCTACATTGGAGGTTAGTTGTGAGCCATGTATCAAGAAACACATTCGTAGTATTTTTATGAATAAAGCTGTAATCTCAACTAGGCTTCTTCTTGAAGGAAATGCAACTATAGGTTGCTTTCATCAATTTTTAGGAGTTAAGTAGCTATGTGACAAGCCTTTTTCTATATTCAATGATGCTCAATGGCTTCTTATTCAAAAGGTTGAGGAAGAGAAGCTCGTTCAAGTTTATATAAAATTACCAAAAAGTATGCTGAATGAAGTAATCATTGGCTTTAATCATGCATACCTAACTGATAGTGCTGAAAGATTTGCTTATCTTTGGAAAGAACAGTGAAAGTTAATTCTACATGATGCTTTATTCAACTTTTTACAGCCTTATAGGGAAAAAGAAGCTCAGAACCTTTTAACATCTAAAGCAAAACACATGTTACTTATGGAATTTGGGACAGAATTATGGAAGATGATTTCTATTGGTCCTTACTTGTACAATGAAAATTTTGTTGGCTCAGTGGAAAGTGTTGCACCAAAAGTAATGTCATGCTGCTGGGGGCCTAGAAATCCTGCAACAACATTTTTGATGTTGGATTCGTCAAGAGAATTGTTGGATGTGTTGGAAGCCAGATCCTTCAACCTACGGTCTCAAACCACATCATATGTTCAGCAGTTTTGCTCGACATATAAAGCCTTTAAAGCCTTGGTATAAGTGGTAAGTAACGCAAAATCTTGTAAGGTATTCTCTTTTACCTTTTCACACTTAATTTCCTCAGTTTATACCTAGAATGTCCACATATTATACAATGCTCCAAATTAGCTGTTCCCTCATAAAATGAGATGCAATTATTTTGTAAGCATCAATTTTATTATATCCAAGTCCAAGTTTTGCTATCTTTTTTTTTTCATTATATAGAAGTAGTAAGTAAAGTTTCATCTGATGGCAACATATTCTTTACTATCTCCAACAGTCGATCAAAACATGATTCACTCAATGTAAACTCTAACTTAACATTTAAAAGTTGTGACATAGCTGAAAGCGTTGTGTGTTTTGTACAACTTGACCACAAAGGTTCCTCTACATTATTTAACAAAAAGTAAAAGATAGTTGCATTTGGATTTGGATTCTTCCACAAAGCTTGACTCATTACCATGGTTATTATTGAAAGCAATGTCCAAACCCATAGCATCCCTAACCA